AAACAGTCACTTTGGGCACTTTAAAATGCAGAAAGGCACAGTATACATTTCTAAAATACATTGACAATGAAGAATGGCCCAACTTCCAAATATGAAACAGGTCGTGAGCCTGTGGCAGAGCATGAATCAGAGAGGTAGTAATCCTCATAATTTCATAACAGGTTTGAGAAAGAATATCATATGAATGGCCCATTATGAAATACTGCCATCCTACCATTTCAGGAAACATGGAAACAAGAATTAGGAGAGTATCCTAATTCTTCCCATTTGCTAAATTGCAATGCCCAGGGATCCTGGGAATGGGAAGGAGGTTTATAAACGTCATTTATTAATGTGTAATCACCAAGACAGTTCACAAGATTGTGACTGAAAAGAAGATGAAGACTATGACTCATATCCATCTTCCCAAATTGACTGCCGTACCAGGGTATCATAATTCTCATTCCAGGAACTGCTTTATGAGGCACCTGCAAAGTGCGATGGAATGTTGCAATGAACTTTGGAACAGGAACAAGTCCAGCAGAATATGTAAAACTTATATGCCCTTTCCCTTCTAGGTTTTCTCACGGACTTCAGTACAAAAGAATTTAGCGGCAAATACAAAACACAGCAAGCTCGTAAAATAAGATCATGACCATATAATGCTATTCTGCCTTTAGCACATTCTTGAGCCAGGGATTTAATTCATACTATTTCCAAGGGTAAAGTTACCATCCTTAAGCACTTGCCTAATGATACAGTTTAACATAAGACACCTTTTAAACCTATGCCGCTCATAGAAGAGACAGTTAACATGCTGCCCTGGGACTATTAGGAAGCCAGTTGTATGCATTTTTGTGACCCATACTTTGACCATCCTTGTTCTCTATCAAGAACCATATGATTCAACATCTTCACTTTTAAGTAATATTCAAAAAGTGGATTGCTTTATGAGAAGCTACAAAACCATACATGGAAGCTTTGAACTAACAGGAACACTTTTCACCCAATATCCCATTTAAAGGCGGCTAATTCTGGGTTCTTCAGGAACTTCAAGGAATATAGGATAGAGTTCATTTTCTGTTTGTGATTTCAGTTTCTGTGAGGGCTGTGGCATCGGGCATGCACCACCCTCAACAAATGTAGATTTTCTCAGCTTTTAAGATCTTGTTAAGCATTATTTGTATTCTGTTATCTGATAAACTATGATCCCTAAAGGTGGAGGAAGGTATGTGTTTTTATTCTATTAATATAAACCAGTTTAGATGTACTGGATAGGTTTAACTTAGCACTAAGCCAAGGTTTGTTTCAATCAGGGTTGACTAGGCTACTATAGAAGGGTTTATACACGTTAAGGCATAAATCATGGTATACAAACCACTATACCTGGATTCACATGTTATGCTAAACTATGGCTTAACAGAATGTACAACACACTGCAGACACACTGCAAGTGTGTGGGGCAAATCTTATTTGAACCACCACAGTTGTTATATATTAACGACTTGACTCTAATTCCTAAATTTGCAAATACTCTTGGCTACTAACTTGCTCAAATAAGAGGATAAGAAAAACTCAAAGCATTGGTAGCTTTGTAGAGTCAGATCCTTATCTCACATATTTTATAGCATGCAGTAGTCTGCTTTCATTTCCAGATCATAAATGTGAGCTAGCCCTTTTAATCGTTCATTTATTTTTCAAATTTGAGTCCCATAATAAGATAGAAAAGCATTTAAGCTACAGGGGGAAAATAACTAAGATTCCACCTAATTACAGTAAAAACCCTGAAGAATAATCATTGGTTTTACACATTGTGCTAAGCCATGGCTTGTTTTACTTATGGTTTGTTGAACAAACTATAAGCAGCTGATTCATATAACACTAAGCTATAAACTGCAATTTACTAACAAAAGTGGTGGCTGAGAATATGTATCATGCTAAGCCAAGACTCAGAAAAAATACAGCTTAACATATATGTGTGAATCCAGTCATATCATGGTTGTGTTCACAGATCATACTAAATCATAACCATGGTTAACAAACCACAGCATCTAAGTTACCATACTGTTAACATACTGGAAAAGGGAACCAAGTGAAAGTAATTCAACAGATACACGATTGTGCTACTGGAAAAGAAACCAAAACTTACAGATTGTTACACAAGCCTATGCAAATCTGTCAACATTCAAGCATGCATGTAAGATCCTAATTGGAGTGCTGAACAGATAAAAAATGAAAGCAAAGATTATAGATTTTATTTGGAAACGTGTAAGCCATAGTTTGGGGCCTGTATGATTAGCATAAATTGTTGTTGGGGTCAGGGTGGAAAAAATACTCAGCAAAATTATACTTGAAAGCCACCTTGTTTGCCATTAGTAACAATATCCATAATAAAATACCTAAAAGCTGCTAATGAAACCAAGCTATTTGACAGAAATTATCATAAATGCCTACAAACAGTATCAGCGAGAATAGGGTAAACCCAATTTTTGAAAACTGGAACAATGGGATGGAAACAACAAGATCTTATAAACTGTGGCTAGATTCAGATATTGCACTAAGGCAAAATGGGTTTGGTTTTGGCTTAGCACATTTTATGAACCCAGGTACTGTGTTGGTAAAGTATAGATTATGCATTAGTGTTTTGTCTGCATATGCAAGTTGATCTTTTAGCTTCCTGACAGACTTGGTGGTTCACCTGTTTGTATGAAGAAAAGACACTACCTTATGAGTGGCAATGTGATTTTATCAATCCTGTCAAATCTGGAACTACCACTTGCAAAACGAGGGGAGGGGAAGAGAGGAGAGGGTTTCTGGGTGTAATCAAGATTATACCAGAAGTAAAATCCAAAAAGAAGCTCAGCCATGTAATACCCACTGAAATAAACTGTCTTTGCACAGTTCCCATTAGTCCAAGATGCACATGGAAAGTTTCAGCTGGCTGTACCCTATATTTTTTATACTATGAACAATAATGTATAACTTTTTCCCCCAAAACTTAAATGGCAAATGGGAGACCTGGACATACCATTAGAGCTCTTACAGTAGTTTATTGAAATATGCTATTAGGAGCACAGCATTTGTTTTTAAGACCACTTCCAGTAAAAGGATATTTCCTGAAAATGCAAAGGAAAAAAGAGGAACTAAAGTGAACAGCAATCAGTCCCACACAAAGCAGAACTGATGGAGGAAAGAAGATGAACCTGCTTTCTGCTCCCTTCAGCAAATCAGGTGGGTGCCAAGGCCGCTCCTGTGCTACTATAATGCGTAGATTCCTGATCATTAACTGAAAGCCGTTATAAACCTTTACTTGGTAGTCAGTATTTGGTGAAATTTACTCCCAGGAGGCATTCCTTCATTGTGACGGTGCTTAATAATCACAGAATAGATTTTGTATGATTAAACTATGTTCTCACACAAGGAAAAAGAACAGATAACCTACTCTGAACTTTCAAAATGTTGCTTACAAGGCCAGTGAATGAAGGTTATGCATGAGAGAAAGGCATAAATCCAGGACCTGTGTCATTTTTCTGGATTTCTGAGGAGCTAAAAGATTCTAGCCTCTTGAAACCTTTGAGAACAGGATAACAGTAGAGCACGGAAGAAAGAGGGGAAAGGGTAGTTCAAAGCTCTTCATTAAAATGGCTTTAGTTTCAGCTTTTCATGCTATTCATAGCATTGACACTTTCTCAGTGCTACAAATCCACTGTTTCCTCCTTTCAACTCTGATTCCTTTTACCAGCTCCAAACAGCATAAACAAACTTTGTCCTTCAACAGTTAAAACTCAGAGAAGCTATGCTTCAAGGTCACTCTTGCTTGCAAAGGCAGGCCTTGCTTCAGCAACTTTTACTGCAACACTATTCCACTCAGATGAAGGAAAAAAACCCAAAGAACTCAGGTGTAACTCTTTACTTAAGGCAAACAGGTAAGTCCTTTGCTATAAAAGCATTCCAGAGTGCACTTATTCACCTTAATCCATTAAAAGATGAGATATTACAATAGCAGGAACATTCCAGTGACCTTCATCATTAATTTGCAGGGTTTTAAAAAAACAAAAACAAAGAATTTATATACTTATGAACACAGCAAGTTAGAAGAGATGCAAGTCTTCAGGTATCCACCATAAACTCTTCTTCAGTTGTCTGAAGGACAGACTTTTCTTACTTAAAGTAAATAAGGGAGAGAAACAAGGGAACAGCTGAGCTCCTTTCCTCCAACTTTCCGAAACCAACACAATATAGCTACTTCAAAGATCTAAAGACCACCACATTTGGAAACTAGCTTTATGATAGGTAACATATTGTTATGACTCATGCTGCTCAAAAAACATGATTTAAAGAAATAACCCTTCCCCTCCCAGAGCCCCATCAGTCAAGCTACATAATATTGGGATGTGGGTGGAGACAAGGAGGAAAAGGGAATGACAGATGAAACAGATGTCAAAATACTGTTGTTCAAATATCTGGCATTTAATTCAGATGTACAAAGTAATACATCAGTCCAAAGCCTTTGTATTAAAATGCAATATGGCATGGGTCAAGTCAAGGCCACCCATCCTGATTTGACACCTGAATGCCTCCCATACTTGTTGCCAATGTTCTATCTCCTAAAATCAAAAGGGAAGCTGAAGAACTCTCCGCTTACATTTTTGGTTTTTCATAAAAGCTTCAGTGCATTTCAAGAAAGACAAATTACTGGGAAGTGAGTGGGAGAAGAGTTCCAGCTTTTTGACAATGATTTTACACACAAAAAAATTATGCAACTATATACAAATTGCTCTCATTTTTCACAGCTATAAAAAATGGGGGGAGCCGGGGGGGAAGAGAGAAACACACACACAGGGGATAAGCCAAGGACAGCAAGGTAAGAGAGGTGTTCTCTAAGGTTTCCAATGAATGCCAGGGGGCCATTTTCTGAGACAGTTTCAACTTATCTGCACTTTTGGATTTTATGACTACTCCAAAGATTGCTACATTAGGGAAAACAAAAAACAAAACAAAAGCAATACAAAAAAACTTACCAGGGACAGCGTTAATTTTACAGGCAGCTAATTATGCCTCCTCTGACAGAGCTAATTTAGCCATTTCTAGTCCTTCTCCACAAAAGAGAGAGAGAGAGAGAGGGAGAGACGTGGAGGAAGAGGAAACAAAGGCAGCAGGAGATGCAGGCAAAGCTCTCTGGAGTGTCCACTGTGGTACAAAACTGAACAGCTGCCCTCCCAAACTATTCGCCATTTTTCTTTGTCTTTCAGCTGACCCCTGCCTCAGTGCAAAACTCCCAGAGACTCCAATGAGACACGGTGCAGCCTCCTTCCACTTTAACGGTGAAAGACATTCAATCTAGCCTGCTATTTGACACCAAACCTCCCTCGGCCGGCCCCTCATTGGCTAAGCCCCTTTATCGCGGGGGATCCCCGAGCTCGGATTGGCTGCCCCGCCCATCACTAACCTCCTTTGTGCACTTCCTGTTTTAAAGTTACCTTGAGAGGCAGAACAGGGGTCAGACGCGGAGACTTCAAGCCAGGAGCAACTTATGTAAAAGCAGGAGCTGGCGAAGCCCGGGCGCTCGGCGGCCCCCGTAAATCAGGCCGGGGCGCGCGGGCAGGGGGCGGCCGGAGGGCGGGGCCGGGCAGGCCTGGCGGGGTGTGAGGGGAGGGGGGGGGGGGGGGG